TTAGCTTAAATCATCTATTTTACAATCAAAAATCACTTGTTTTACTATGATTTAGAAGGAAAACTGTAGTTATTGAATAAATTAGCTTTTCTAAGTCATAGTAAAGAAATACAAAAATGTGTTACCTTGAGCCATCAATACTTGTTTTCAAGATTATAAGATCAATTACTCACTATTTTAAGATAATGTCATACAATAATTTGCCCAATTGGATATTATCTCAACTTGCATTATTTATATTAAGTAAAGCAACTTGTCACCTAGAAGTTTACAAAAATCAATAGTTATTTATTTGCCTATTGGTATACTTGAAAACAACTGTAATGTATTTACTTATTCTGGAGTAAAAAAAAAGGCTTGCAAACTGTAACATTACATTACAGTCATGCCAACATGAAGTCATCCAGACAGCCGTTTTTCCAAAATGATTACTGCTAAGACAAAAGCACAAGGAAATGCACGGACAGGTAGTTACCGCTCCTTTCTTGAAAGTCAGAGGAGCTTCCTGACTGTTTCCAGTATCACACGTTGCATTAAGTGGCAAGTTGAAGACAGAAAGATCTGTCTGGGGAAAGCTTTATTAGTTTTCTTTTATATTCTTTTAATCATACGTTTTACTTAAATCATTTTATTTGCATGTGTTTATGATTCTCAGTAATGATTATGGTTTTACTCATTATTGTTTTTCTTTTATCCTCACCTGGCTGAGATGCTGAAATGTGCCATAAGGTCATTGCCGATGCAACGGGGTGGTGTCACATTTCCCCCTTTATTAAACTGGTTTGAACTGTTTTTGCCTAAGGGGGTGGGGGGTTTCCGTCACATACATAAAGCATCCCTGCTTGCAAAGTTGATAGTGATATTTGTAATAACAAATCCACAAACGGGGTATGTCAGGTGAATTTTGTGGTCAAACGTTATGGATGGTTTTATTATTGTGGCTGAGAACGTTCTTCCCCTCTGCCCTGAGAACAAGAAGCTTGGTCGTCTCCCAAAACGGAACCAAAACACGATCTTCTCTCTGCCCATGAACCATAAGTTTGTCTGAATTAAAAATACTGTGTAAGAAGATGGCAGCTGGCTTCATGGACACCCCTGAACTATGTTGAACTCTGAGCTGAGTGGAGTATAAAAGGAGCAGACAATGCAGCTCGTGGCTGGTTTTATTTTTCCTTGACTGGTTTTCACATGTATATGACTTTGTATGTTAATATATATGTTGTTTATGTAACCTTAGAACTTGCAAGTAAAATACCGGTTAAAAATCTGCACCTGCCATGAGAGTGTTTATTTTGAGTAAACAACGTCAGAGAACAATAAGATTTCTCCTACAAAATGTTTTTTTTATTGATTTTATGAAGAAAATAAAACACACTTCTGCAACAAAATAGTTAAAATACACATATATACAGCCTAACATGATCCATAATCTGCACTCCTTTATAAATACACAATATAATCTGTAGTAGATTGGAAGCAATTTTCAACATAAGTAGCCACATGGGTGAATGTTGATAAATATACCATGTCTATGACATACTAAAGGAATCTGTAAATAGTGATATATATATATATATATATATATATATATATATATATATATATATA